GAGAGAGAGAGAGAGAGAGAGAAACATAGTCATAGACAAAACAAAAAGACAAAGAAAAGAAAGACCAGATGGACCAAGATACAGAAACAGGTGGAAACAGGGAGAAACTGGGTTATCTGCAAGCACATTCCAATTAAAGGCTGGCCATTTTCATTTTTGTTTCAGATAAGGTCTTCTACATACCACGAAGCTACAATGATACAAAGAACCCAAAGAGGGATCGTGTGAGTATGGCATATGACCACCGCATTGAAAGCATCTAAAAATAAAGGCAGAAGAAATAACGTTTGAAAGAGCTTTTAACTTTGCACTTATGACTGAGCTACCTAATGAAGAATCTAAATAGAGACATCTTCCTACGACCCACCAGTAATTCAAGGTATTTTGCCGAAAAAGTCATCGCAGACATTATCAAACAATGAAACAAAAAAAATAAATCAAATTAATAAAGGTACGAGATTTAAAAATACACGAACAGGCCTTGGATCCCAGAAACAACAAAGGGAAAGAAAGAAACTTTAAAAAGTAAAAGCTACCAATGGTAGTGGTGCCTTTCAACCACCCACAGGTTATGAGTGTAGAAGTCAAAAGAAGGCTAGGTCATGCTCGAACAAAAAAAATTTTCAGCGCTATCGACACAATTTAGTCATTATAATGATATCCTGTACAGCCAAGAAAATTCTCCCTCTGGGACAATAAAGAATTATCTCCTCTTATTATCTTATCTTATCATATCCTATCTTATCATACATCCCGCGGAACTTTATTTTAAAAAATCCCGTGCCCATTTATATGAGATTGACGCCATCTGATTAGTAGAAAAGAGTGTGTATGATAGAGTCCAATAGTGTATTACGTGCATACTTAGTATGACAAGTAACTGTTACAGATAGAGATTCAAGGATTATAAATTTTAATGTAAGTCATTGATCTGAGAGCAATGATGACATCCTGCAGAACTAACTACAAAGGGTTTACTTTTAGTACGAGTTTTACGGCACTTGCAACACAATAAGGTCATATAAGTGCTGGAGATTAGAGGTGTGACAAGAGAGTAACAAACACAAAAAAGGAGGAGAGAAAAGGACAATAGATATTTGATAGGAAAGAAGAAGCAAACCACATAAGAGCACCCGCCAACCACCCACAATTACAAAGGGAACTCTCTGTGTTTACCTCTTGCAGCGAGAGGGCCAGCTTGCCACCGTCCAGGCAGTCGGGCCACCACTTGACCTTCTTGCTACCGGCACCTTCGCAGGACTGCAGACCTGCAAGGGGAGAGACAACAGTTTTTGTTTTTATTTTTATTTTTGGAGGAGGAGGAGGAGGATGGGGAGGGGGAGGAGGAGGAGGAACAGGAGGG